AGAAAAGAAAGCAGTTATATATGCTATTAAGCTATATTGCCATAGCTTATATGTTGAAGACTTGATTGTTAAGTTTTCATAAAATACACCCTTTCAAATCAAAACTTAGCACTTAAGACAACATGACGTACGTGCATGCATGTACTGCAAATTAAATACATATTTTTGCGCGTGAAGTCGACTAGTCGAGTAACCGTTATGCGAGTCGACTCGTCATATTTTAAATAAAAATATATTTATTTATAATTATAATATAAATTGTCATACTTTTGTTTATATTGTATTTTATAACATGATCGATATTTAAGTATGAAAGAATTTATATTTGTTGAAAAATATGATTGAGGAATCATTAGCCTAACAACAACCTTATTAATCGCAAAAATCCGTAATCAGACGGACCTAAGTGTAAGATAAATCGAGTTCACTTATTTTTTATTTAAAAAAATGCATACTTGCACTATTTTTTATGGTTAAATCATTTACATTATTTTTAAACTAGAAAGTACAATATGATATTATCAGTTTGTTTAAGTTTTGAAAGAAAATTTATAGTAATCCCCCTATATATAATTCTCGAATCCGCTGAGCCAATGTGGCTGCTTCTAGTGCTTTGGAATCCTAATTAGGTTTGGACAAATAATATTAATATATTAATAATTAATAATCTAGGTTCGGACATTCCATAAATATTATTTAGCTAACTTGGTATTTTAATATCATTTGTACTAATATACCCCTTTAATTCTTTGTAATTTTACATAGTGAGGCATTAAGTGACAAATATATCCCTGACTTTTGATTTGTTTCCTTCAATTAACTGTTGAATTGTAAATGTATTTTAAAAGTTGATAACTTTTGTATTTCTTATTGGTTTTGCATATATAATATATCAAATTAATCATCTTTTGATGATCTTCGATTTAACATCCATATTGTATATACGAAATAAATAAATTATATTTATCTTTGTAATAATAATAAATAATAATATTATTAAAATTCATTAGAAAAATAAAATTATTTCTAAATTCATATATTTATGTTTGTAGTTATATGTTTTAATTAAAAAAATATTATAATATAACACAGGTAAGTCGCACAAATAAAAAGTGTCATATTAAATATATAACAATATATATATTTTTATAAAAAGGTATTTAAATTTTCAACTACTTTTTCTCATTAGCTTTAGATTTTATGGAAAAAAATAGTAAGCATACCCGTGTAATACACTGACGTTGTATTAGTTTATTTATATAAATTATATTTAAATAATATATAACATTTGAACTCTAAAATTTACAACAAGATTGCATAGTTTACATTTATAAACACAATGCAAATAACTAAACTTTATTGACAAGATAAAAAAGTATCAAGTAAAATAGTGAGTTGACTAATTCGACCAATTTTCGGGGACTTTATTTATTAGGGATAGTCAAAGGGGTTATTTATTTAAAAGGGATAGT